AAACTCACCTTCCCACAGAGTCTTAGAACGTGGGTGAGGGGCCTCTTGTCCTGTTAACATCTTGCCCAGTTTCCATCTGCAGCCATCATGAGGGCTGTCTTCTTCGTCCATATTACTATCATCACTCTGCTATTCTGAGCACCCATCAGAATGTCCCACCAAGCTCTGCTTACAGTATCCTATGGCTTCCCCACACTTCCCTTATTCTTCCTGAAAACCAGTTCTAAAAGCTTCTGAGCCATGTGGTAATATTGTAGCAACAAATCCTCTTCTCTGGCACCAATTTTCTACACTGGTGAGACTTTTTTTTTTTTTTTGCTGTAACAAATTGGTGGAATGAAACAACTTAACAGAAGACATTTTCTTCTTTTTGAGACAGAGTTTCTTTGTGTAAACTTGGCTGTCTTGTAACTAGCTCTGTAGACTAGACTGGCCTTGAACTCACAGAGATCCACCTGCCTCTGCCTCCTGGGTGCTGGGATTAAAGGTGTGAGCCACCACTGCTGGAGACATGAAGATATGGTGGAGCAAAACAGCTTATATTTTAGAAGCCAAGAAGCAGAATAGAAAGAAGAGGAGGTCCAACTCCTAAAGTTCCCAGAACCTCCCTAAACGGTACCAATAGCTGGAGACCAGGCATTGAACACATAAGGGAAATCTCCTATTTATAGCAGGAGAGATTGGTAGACTGGCCTCATTCTTTGTACCCAAGTTCACCCCCAAGAGTTTCTACTCCTGATGCTTCTACCTCATATCTAGCTGAGGGCTAGATGCCCTAAGGTGGAGAACTCCATCCAAGTCCCCACACATGGGATATTTGGCTGGACATCCTGAACCCCACCTGTTGCCTGCTCTGAGCACTACTCACAGATCTCCCGTGGATCTTCCTACGTGTACACATCATCCCTTGTGATCTTACAAGAGGTTTTCAGCTGCAAGCCTCAGCATTCTCCACCCTGATGCCTCTGCCAAAATCCAGGAAGCCCTGGGTTCCTTGACACTGGACTGGGCTAGGTGTCTCGAGAACTGGATCTGTGTGGTGTTTCTGTATTGAGAGAGCCAAAAGGATATCAGGGAGAAGATGTATCTCAGATTGCCCTGTAGGATAGCCCAAGCTGAGGGAAGCTTGGCCATGAGGCCCCTCATGATAACATGAGAAATGATGAAATTCCAGCTAGGAGCCTAAAGAACTCACTATGCTATAGACCGAAGTGGACATTCTATGGTCAGACTATAGCACCAGTGTCCCAGGAAAAGCAGCTGAGCAGAGCCTGTGCCTGGGAGATGGCAGGTTCATTCCATGTCACTAGGATGGCCATGTAAGTTCACTGGACTGTTCAGTCAGGGTGGGTAGGGGGCAAGGTGTAAATCTCCCAACTACAAAGAACTTTAAGACACATGTACAGGTGAAGAAGCCCTGTGTATGGCTGCAGTTTGCAATTCCAATATGTAGGTGAAGTTTTTCTGTCTGCCAGTCAGCTCTGTCCCATCAGTTGGCTCCCCCAAATGACCACACAGAGACTTAATATTAATTATAAATGCTCAGCTGATTCCTTAGGCTTGTTACAAATGAGCTCTTTCAAATTAAATTAACCCATATTTCTTATCTACACTCTATCATGTGGCAGTACCTTTTTTCAGCATGGCATGTTCATCTTGCTTCTCTCCATGTCTCCTTGGCAACCCCACCTTCTTCTACCCCATGCTCTCCTTTTTATCCACAAGTCCCGCCTAACCTTTTCCTGCCTAGCTATTGGCCAGGCAGCTCTTTATTAGTCAATGAGAGTCATACATATTCACAGTCTACAAAAAGATTGTTCCACAGCACCAACACATGGTCCCACTTCTTGGCCAGTGGGGGGGGGTCAAAGTGTCCCCGAAAAGTAGGGCTAGAGTTCCCTGTAGATATCATCTTAGTACTGAGCATTTGGGGTCCACTGGGGCCAGACACAGCAGCCTGCTCTGAACAGACAGACGGGGTTCTGGCTGTAGCTGTGAGGGCTCACCCTCCTCTAAAGTCAGGAATGGACCATGCTGAGAGAGGCCCAGAAGTTTGTTCCACTGCTTCCCCACTCCAAAAAGGTCCACACCTCAGCTCCCTCCTCTAAATCCTCTTCTGTAGTTTGGCTCTTTGGGGTTCCTAGACTATATTAGAGGAGGTCCCTGACTAAAGTGAGGATAAGAAAGGAAGCTGCCTCCAATCAGGACTGAAGGGACTGGGGCCGCCACCTGCCTACCTGCCCATTCCACTGAACCCCAGATCCGAGTACTTGCAAGTTGAAGGAGCCAGGGAAGTGCTTGGTGACAAACGACAGAAGTGACTTCAGTATGTGTCAAGGAAAGATAGAAATTTATTGAGTTTGCTATCAAGGAACACCATAGGCTGGGTGATTTATAAACAATGAACCTTTATGGGCTCGTGGTTCTGGAGACGAGGAAGTCCATAACTGAGGCATGGTGTCTGGCATGGGTCTTCTTGCCAGGATCTTCCTATTATCTCACAGGAAGACACCTTAGATCAAGAGGATGTGAAAAAGCATACTCAAAAGTTTTATGTACTCCTCTAATTAGCATTAATCTGTTGTTGAAGGTGCAGGCCTCCTGGCCTAATCAACTTTCAGATATCTTACCTTAATTTAACATTATTGCACTGAGAATTATATTCACAGTACTTGTTTGGGGAACATGTTTAAACCGTGGAACTGCAATACAGAAAAGTGAACAGATCCCAGCTAAAGCCAGGGCCTCCACCCAGGGAGCTTTCTCCACCCAGGGATCCAGTTTACTCTGGCTCACTCCACTCTGAGACAGCCTCTCTCTATCCCATCCCAAAGGTGTTGACAAAGTCCCTGGCATCCCCAAACAATCCTCCATATAGATGCACCAATTTCGGCTAATTTCCTCTATGTCGGAAAAATCAGGTTATCAGGCCCTCAGCGTAACCTCTGAATCAGTCCTAGAGCCAGGTGACTCCAGCTGGCTATGTAGAAGACCCAGGACATCACTCTCCCAAAGGGCTCCCAGGGATGCTGGTCCCTAAAGCAGAGGGCTTGCTAGGCAGACAGCTGCTACAGATGCCTTCATAGGGTCATAGCATTCGCCCATGCCGCTCTTCACATGGATCACAAAAACGGTGGAGGACAGATCTGAACTGTGCTGGGACACAGGGATCCTGGTGTCTTGGTGCCAGAAGAAGGCCTGATTCTTGCCCCCCCCCCCTCTAGTCCCTTGAGTTCTGACTGGCCCAGGCCCTTCTCTACAGAGCCGTCCAATGTCCTATAGGACCCCTAGCTTAGTGTCTGTCCCACCCACTGCTCTGTTAGAGCCAGAAGGCTGGATCTGTCCTCATTCATCAAGTCCCTATCACCCACATAGGACTAAAGTGCATGCTTGGGAATGAAGGATGAATGGATGAATTAATGAATGAATGTCATCCCGTGTAGCAGAGGGCAAGGAGCAAGGCTGGCAGCTCTCCAGTCAGCTTTGCACTTTCCCATCAGTCAAACCTTCTCCTCCGTCACTGCCATCTCCTCAATGGGTACAACACACGCCTCCACCCCAGGAGCTGCCAAGCTAAGGAAAACGCCCCACACAAGATTTAAGCTAGTTTTTCTCTTCTTTTAAAAACTCGTGATTGGGGAATACCAACGATTTAGAGTTCTTGATTTTTTTTTTTTTAAGTTAAACCATACACGCACCAGATGGCTTCAAAATGAGCAAATATTGGGCCAGTTCTCGTGACCTTCCTCAGGAGATGAGGGGCTTGGAGAGCAGTGGGGAAAAGGAGGAGACAGCCGGGAAGAAGTGCGAGGTAAAGCCAGCCTCGTGACTCATCCTCAGGGTCGAACTGAGGCTCCAGGTCACAGGGGCGGTGGAGCCCCTGGCTCGGAAGCAGACGCAGCAGGCTCACTGCTCGCCAGATGAGTCTGCCAGCGCTTCTCCACTAGGGGCGGTTTCCGGGGCGACCCAGCTTTCCTTCGGACCCGGGGAATCCCCATCCCAGGAGCTCCCAGGTCTGAGTGCTGCCACATCTTGGTCAAGATCCTATCTCTCCAAGGAGCTCCAGTTTTCTCCTTTGTCAGCCAAGCCCAGTTCGCTGCCTGGCAGGATGGGAACAAGTTCACAAGCCTAGTGTGTACTACTTTTTCTTAGTCTGAAAGGAGTTTGGCACTGAGGATCTCATTACATGAAGAAGAGCCGTGTGTGTGTGTGTGTGTGTGTGTGTGTGTGTGTGTGTGTGTGTGTGTACAAGTTCACAAGCCTAGTGTGTACTACTTTTTCTTAGTCTGAAAGGAGTTTGGCACTGAGGATCTCATTACATGAAGAAGAGCCGTGTGTGTGT